ACTTTCAACTCATGGAATATTTATAACACCTACCCTGGACCAGGCCCCATATTGGGTGCTGGTGTCATGGAGATGCACCAAACACGACCCACTCTTGCCCAGAGGGGGGAGTGGACACGTAAATAAATAAGGGACTGTGCCCTAAAGGCCATAACACCAGTTCAGAGAAAACACAAAGGCAGAAAAGGTTGACTCTGCCTAGGGAGTTGGAAAACAACATCAGAGAAATGATATCTGAGCCTGGAGTTTCCCAGGTAGGCAAGGCAGGAAGAGCATTTCAGGCTGAAGCAGCAACCCAAATAAAGCCATGAGACATGGAATTGCTAGGAAAGGTGGGTATCAGGTGCTGTTGGATCATGGGCTATGCACAGGTCTTATAGCAGGAGATAAAAACAGTGTGTGACTCGGAAGGTAGAGGATATTGGATACAAGGCCATGAAAATGAGACTTGAACCCCTCAATCAGTAATTCTCCAGCAAAACTCCTGGGGAAACCAGGTGCTCCTCAAGCTAAGCTGAGGGGTTCAGCCACTAAATTAAAACTATAGCCATCTCTTTCTAACTTGCAAGAAGGCACTTAACTATTGAATAGAATCTTCTTTTTTGAAGGTGCTTTTCCTCCATCACTTTTCTGAAGACTTTAGCACATGTCAGTTGTACAGGAGAATGATATAGTGTAGAATTGCAGTTTCATTTTGTTTTGTTTTGTTTTTTTACAGTTTTAAATCTAACATGTCAATAGTTCATGGTGTCCTACCAAGAACTGTGGCTTCTGGGTCTAAGTACTGGGGAGTCACAGAAGAACTTTAAGCAAGGAAAACACAAAATCGGATCTTTCTATTTAAAAAAAAAATCATTCTGGAGGTGGCTGGCTGGCTTAGTATGTAGAGCATGTGACTCTTGATCTCAAGTTTATAAGTTCCAGCCCCACACTGAGTGTAGAGATTAATTAAAAATATTTTTAAAAAATCATTCTGGAGGCCTGGGAAAGGAAAAAAGAAGGTAAGTAGGGGGAGAGGATTTCAGTTAGGAAGAAGGCTCCTGACACAGTTCAAATAAAAATTGGTGTCCTGGACTGAAAGTGGGGGCTACCGGGATGAATGGGGTGGTGACTAAGTCCAGCCTCCAGGAGGAAGACCTGCTGGATGATTCTCCAGGCTTTCCAGGGAATTCAGAGGAGCCAATTTGATACAGAAGATAATGTCAACAGTACAGTGTCACCTAGAGAATCTTCAACAGATCTGTGTGTGTGTCACAGTGAAAACAGAAGGTAAGCAAAACTAGGCATTGTGTGTATGTGCGTGCACGTGTGCGTGCATGGTCAGGCACATGAACACTCACATACAAGTGTAACACCAAGTCTTTCCTCCAACATGGGACATCTACTTTCTCTATTAATAAAAACAGGTACAAACATTTTTTGAGCACATAGTATGAGCCAGACCCTAAAACACTGAGTGCTTTATATATGTTATTTCCCATCTAATCGTCACAATAACCTAATAACATTTATCAAATGCTTTCATGTGCCAAGAATTGTGCTAAATGCTTCCAGTGAATAATAGCTCACTTGATCTTCACAACAGCCTTGAAACAAATACTACTATTTCCTTCATTTTAAGGATAGGGAAATGGAGACACAGAGAGGCCAAGTGACTTGTCCAAAATCCAGTGGCTGGAAAATGGCAGAGCCAAGACTCAAAGACAGTTTTGCCAGAATCCAACAACCGGCAGCTTTCGGGAGAGCACTTTGCTTTCTTCTCTTCCTCAGAGAAAAAGGCTTCGAGCTGGCAAGTTTTGGGTCAATAAAATCTAGAGAAAGGAACTCTTCCTTATCCTTTAGAGCCCTGGATCAGTGTTTGCCTAAGCCTGTTTCCTGGGCCACCTGCATCAGAATGTTCTTGAAAGCTTGTAGGAATTGTAGATTCCAGGACCTGTCGCCAAAATTCTAATTCAGTAGGCTCGAGATGTGGCCTCAGGCGATTTTTATGCACACTGAAGATTTTGAGTAGGACAGGCTCCAACAGCACTTCCTGCAAGAGCCCCGTCTCCACCCTGGGCTCCTTCCAGAGCACCTTTCTCCTGCAGACCCATGGGGAAATAGCCTGGGAGCTTCAGACACTAGCCCAAGGTGGCCAAACTAGAAAGCATTAGGACGGGGAGATGCACCTAAATCTTCTAGCTCCGAGCCTGAGTACTCTCGTCTCCACACCAAGTTACACGGACGCTATTCATTGGTAAAGGAGGTGAACTTTGCCTCCCCGCGCTGATCCAGGGCTGCAGGGATTCAGCCAGGTGGTGCCCTAAAAGGTCTGGCACAGGTGAGCGCTGGGAGGGAAGGGGAAATGACTTCCCCCAAATCGAACACCGAATCGCAGCCTGCAGACCCAGCGCTGGGCCGCTCTCAGACGCTCCTATCCGGGAGAACAACTTTGACCCGCGCCGAGGCTCCGCAACTCCCTCCGGTACCGCCACCTCGCGCCCTCGCGCCCTCGCGCCCCCGCGCCCCCGCGCCCCCGCGCGGCCCCCCCAGGCGCCACCGCGCGGGCCGCCGAGGAAGAGGGCGACCTTTTAAAAGGAGCGAGGGGCGTGGTCACGCGACGGGGCGGGGCGGGAGGCGGGGCGCAGGCGCAGGCGCGCGCGGGCGCAGGCCGATGACGTCAGCGCGTTGTCGGGCTCCGAGATTCTGCGGGAAGCATGTGGGGCCGCGGCGCGCTGTTGCGGACGCGAACCCGGTCCGTCGCTTGGGGCCGCGGCTGGTCGGCCGCCGCTCCCTGCTCCGCACCTGCCGAGCCCTCCCGGGTCCGGGCGCTGATCTATGGGCACCATGGGGACCCAGCCAAGGTCGTCGAGTAAGAGGCGGCGCCTAAACGGGGCCAGGGGTTCCTGGAGGGGGTTAGGACGCGCTGTGGAGAAGGGGGGACTGACGAAGGAGGGACGGGGGGGGGGACGCAGAAGGCGGAGAGTAACGGGACCCGGGCGGAAGCCCCCGGCGCGTTGGGAAGCTCGGAAAGTCGGTGCTTCCAGGTGGTCGAAGGCCGGAGAGGCACAGTCGTGACGGTAATAGTGTGGCTAACTTTTTTTTTTTTTTTGAGGTACAATTGACATACGATATTATATTCGATTTAGGTGTACCGCATGATGACTCGGTATGTGTAAATATTGCGGAATGATTGCCGCAGTAAGTCCAGTTAATTATCTGTCAGCATACATGATTTTCTTTCTTTCTTTTTTTTTTTTTTCCTGAGGAGAAGAACTTTCAAGGTCTGCTCGCTTAGCATCTCTCAGACATGCAGTGTAATATTACGAACTGTAATTACCAAGCTGTAGGTAAGGTCCCCATGACTTGCTCATTTTGTGACAGGAAGTTTGTACCTTTTGCCTCCCTTCACCCATTTGGCCCTGTGCAACACACTCACACCCCAGTCTGTTCTCTGTATCTGAGATTGGTTTTTATTTTTTTTTTCTTAAAGCATTTATTTATGTATTTTTAAGAATTTATTCGTGAGAGACAGAGACAAAGGCAGAGAGAGAGAAGCAGGCGCCCTACAGGGAGCCGGACGCGGGACTCGATCCCGGAACTCCGGGATCACGCCCTGAGCGGAAGGAAGCTGCTCAACCACTGAGACACCCAGGTGCCCCGGTTTTTGTTTATTTAGAATACACTTGGCAGTGCGATCATTCAGTATTGGTCTTTCTCGGACTTATTTAATGTAGCGGAATGCCTTCAGCGTCCATCCATGTTGTCTCTAGTGCCAAGATTTCATTCTTTTGTATGACTGAATAATATTCCATTATTTTATATATCTAATATGTAACATTATTATGTACATTATTTCACTACTTTATATATATATATATATATATATATATACCTCCCATTTACATGTGTAAACCACATTTATTTTATCCATTTATCCCTCAATGACTTTGACTGACGGGGTGTTATGTGTCAGGCACACAATGGGTGTGTCCAAATGGATCCTCTCAATTAATCCTCACGTTTAGGGTAGGTACTTGATTTAACCCCATTTTGTCAGTGACAGAGCTGAGTTGTAAGAGAGGCAAAAATCACTTGCCCAAGGTCGCACAGCCAGTAAGTGGCAGAGTCGACATTTAAACCTAGGTCTTACTGATTTGCCTGAGTTCCTAGGCTCTATTTTGTGTGTGTGTGTGTGTGTGTGTGTGAGAGAGAGAGAGAGAGAGACACTATATTCTGAATGCTTTTATGTCCATTTGAATCTTCACTTCCCAGAAAGTAGGTGGGAGACCATTGTTTTTAGTTTGCAGGAGACAAGAAGGGACTTGTCCAAAGTGATAGAGCTAATAAATAATAAAGATCAGGACAGGGACAGGGACCCATAGCTTCTAATCCTATCTCATATGATTTTCTCTCTATCACACTGTATATGTGCATTTAGCCAGTTAAAAACTCCTGTTTGGGAGCTTTACAGACCTTAAGATCAAATACGGACTCCACCCAGTAGTAGCTGTTTGATCTTACACAAGTTATTCAGCCCCTCTGAGCCCTCATTACTTTTACGATTATGTTCTCCTAAAATTCTGTTAGATCTTAACCCATGATTTTTGCATGTGGCTGATAAAAACAGTATGTGAATTGTCAACCATTATAAATCTGCTCATAAATGACTATAACCATTCAGAAGAGCTACTGGGGTCACTGTAGTGGAGCTAAGTCAGAAGCACTGGTCTGGGAATCAGACGTGGAGACCAGTCCTTACTTCATCCTAGCTCTGTGTGTTCGGCAGGTTACTGAAGTTCTCTGAGCCTCAGTTACATCATCTTTAAACATGGCAACAGTACACATAAAGCTAATAGTGCTAAATAGCTGAGATCAATCTAATGCTGTCCACTGAAAGTGCCTGTGTACTCTCCTACAGTCCCTTGATTACAACTCTCTGATTCCCAGCAAATGGTCTGATTGTTTTCCAAAGGATAGGCAAACATGGAATTATTTTTATGGTTAAAATACAGGGCACAGTGCACTCTTCAGCAACATGTATGCTAAAAGTAGAACAGTACAGAGAAAATTAGCATGGTCCCTGCTCAGGGATGGCACGCAAATTCATGATGCATTCCATATTTTTACTTAAAAAAAAATTCAAGCCAGATGTTTTGACAGCTGGAAGAGATAAGCTTCAGTTAAATTCAGGGTCATGCACTCAGCCTAGCCACAGCCACCATTAGAATACTGAGAAGACACATCAGTCAGTACCCCTCAAATTGTATGTTAATCATTGGTACTGATCACCGTGTTGGGAAGACCTGTCCCTGAGGACTGCTGTAATGGGTTGGTAAAGCTCTGATGAATACCATTTTCCAGGAATGCATCCCAAATGGGAATGATGTGGTGCCTCTCTCACAGGCTTCTAGTTTCTCTGGCTGGTACAGGAACTGCCACAAAACAAGTGTTCCAAAAATGGTAGTTATGAATCTAATTTCTCTAATAAATTTTTTTTTTAATTGTGGTGATGAGGATGGGACCCTTTGGAAAGGCCTGGGAAGGTTAGGCAGCTGAGTACACTTGCCTGCTGATTGATTCCCTCCTCTTGGAGAGCCAAGGAATCCAAAACAAATCTGATGTGGTAGCAGATGCCATTTAAGGAAAAAAAGAGAGCGCTCTTGTCTCCTTGTTTGGAACCCTAGTTCTTTCCCAGAAGTTCAAAACATGATACTTTCATGCAACATTCCTCAACCCTGGCTTCACATCCGGTGACTTGTGGCACTTGCTCCATATTCCCAGGCACTTCCCCGAGGCAGTTAGCAGGTCTAGGATGGTCCTGAACATACCTGTGTTTTTTAAACTCCCCAAGTGGTTCTGATGCCCTGCCCAGGGTTGGGAACCATTGCCCTTGTGAATACAGACTATTAGGCAGGCAGTAATTCTCCCTCTACTGCAGAAGAGTGGCTTTCCCTTCTGACCCAGATTCAGGCAACTTGACTTGTTCGTGTATGGACTGAAGCCAGAGGCCGGGATTCTCTTCTTTGTAGTCAAGTCTTTGGAGGTTTAGGGTAACCACACTGTCACAGAATCAGGTGTCCTTTAAGTATGCCAGTGACTGGGTGTGTGGGTCAGTTTACACCAGGCAGGGTCGTGGAACCGCCCAGAGTCTGAGCAGAGTGTTTCCCAAACCAGCGTAGCTTATGGTGTTCACTGAGCAGCAGGGAGGAAATGAGGAATGATCTGCTCAGGTGTGAGGGGTACAGAACTCAGAATAAGACATCCAGGGATCTCTGAATGTCCTCTTCATTCCAGTTGGCCCCCAAACATTCCAGCTGGTCTCTCTACTAAGCCGTGTTCCCCTTTCCCCTAGAGTTGTTTTCTCCCCCTCCCAAGTGAACTCCACTAAATAAGCACTTGGGCCTTTTTCATTTAAAGGATCAAACTACTGATCTAAGTGAAGTGAGACTGCAGGAGAAAATGATAAACTTGGAAGAATTATAAACTCAGGAAATTTCAGAGGTCCCCATGGCCATACTCCTTGTGCAGAGTTCTGGGTTCTCTATCAGATAGTTCATAGAAACTCTAATGTCCCCTTTTCCTTCTGTTCCTGAAAGTCCCCTTTCAGAACTTTGCCATTCTCTGGGTATTATGGTAAAAAACAGCTTTGATTTACTATGCAGGCATTGGGCTAAGTTCCTGAAATATATTATGGGACTTAAAAATCACAAAAATCCAATTCGGTCATTATTTTCCCCATTTTACAGATAAGGGAACTAAGGCTTAAGCTTGACAGTTACTTGCCCAAGAGCATACAACTAGGACCCTTCTTTATAACAGTCCTTGATAGAGACCTAAAGAAACAATGACAATCATCTCATGTTTTTTGAGAATGAGATGGCATATAAAATGGAGAAGATAGGCCGGAAGAGAAGGTGAAATTATAAGCCATTCAGGTGACCCCAAGTCTTTACCCTTCATAGAAAGGGCAGCCCCACCTTAGGGAAGATGGTAGGAATGTTATTCTCTGTCTGGTCTCCTTTTTCAAGATCCTGAAGCTTTCATAAAATAACATCCTGATCATCACAGCTTTCTCACCTGCCTGCTGCCAGCACAAAATGAAATGAAGCTATGAAACCCTTAAACAAACCCATTCTTAAGCAAATGGAATTTGGGGGAGCAGGTAATGAGGACCCAAGCTGTATGGGTAGTAAGGCCTCACTTTAGGACACTGTTCAGTCTCAGGGGACTTGTTTTTACAGTTAGTTGATGTCAGTGTTTATAACCAAAACCATGCAGGTGATTTGGTTTTTAAACCAGAATTATAATACTTTGAAGAAAAAAAAAAGGTTTGGCACTCTGTTGAGAACTGGATTTTGTTCATTGATCTCTTAGAGCCCTTTATTGTGGTCATGAATGAAAGAGGAGGGAACAGAATTCATTGGTTTAGTAAGTTAGCCAGGAGTTATTCTTGAGGGCCTTCTACATGCAAGGCAGAGACGAATAGTCTGTGGTCTTTGCCCTTAAGGAACTCACACCCGAGTCCAGGAGATGGGTGACCATAGCCCTGTGGGGAAAATGCCATATCATTTAGACTGCTGTGAGCACCCAGAAAAGAGGTACCTCGGCTTGGAGTATTTCTATGCTTTTCCTCACATATTGCCCACCTTATCTCCTGGGGGACTCGACCTAGACCTCTGTGCTTTCAGAGAAAGCATTCTCTGACTACTCTGAGGGGGTTAGGTACCCCTTTTTGTGGGTACATGTGTAAAAGCCTAGAGGGAAGAGAAAACCTGGTGTGTCTGATTAGCAGATATTTATTATGTGCCTACCATGCACTCATTATGTGATCCTTGAGGGAGGTGTCAGCTCCATCAGTCTCCGAGGGGACTAGCTTTAGATCACTGAGGACTCAAACTCAAGCTGGAGTCCACATCCTGTCACACTTGTACATTACCTTCCCTCTGGACTTCACCCTAGGCTGTGGAGTTGAGGGCCAAAACGCTGAGGGTGAAACGTGGCAGGCAGAGCTCAGAAGTATCGTACAGCAGACTGGAGTTCCCCCTATGTTCGGAGTGTGTGGGAGGAGAGCTGCTTCCATCCCCCACCAGAGCAGCCCCAAGTTACTATGCTTGTCTGGCCCTTCCGGCAGCTGCTGCAGTTCTCTAGTGTGCTTCCAGGCCCTTACCACTCTGGAGCAGGTGGAAGGGTCATTTTAGAGAAAGAAAAGCAGAGCTGCCATGAGGTTAATAATGTGGTTCAAGATGTGTCACTGGGACCCACCCCCAAGAGCACCGGTCTGGGTTCTGGTCCCTGCTCTGCCACTCATTGTTCAAATGAGGAAATCTCATTCCAGTCTCCAGTCTTTTCAGTTATTCTTGATAAAATGAAGAGGTTGACCAAAGTCAGCAGTGGTAAAGATGGGCACACATGCTGTCTCTTCCCACCACCACCACCCAGTCCCATCTTCTTTGCCAGTAATAAACTGTCACAGCTCTGTTTTCTATATACTTCAAAACCTATACATCTCTTTACCCCATTCTCCCCAAGCAGCACTTTTTCCTGCCGAGATAAGGTGAGGTTTTAGCGTCCTTCTCCACATAATCCTGCAACCATGGGAATGGATAGAAGACTGAGTGCTCTTTGATCCAGGAGTTGTGCAGGCCTGACAGCTGTGAAACTGAGTAGACACTGAACTGCCTGCTCGCCAGTGGTGTTTCTAGCAAACTCCAGGAAGCAGTGCTGCAGCTAGAAATCAGGGGCCCTGGGTACAAAATTTCACCAAGGGCCCCCTTTACTCCTAGTTGGTATCATAATCAATAGCCTGCCAGGCAGGGGATGCATGGTCATCTTTGTACCTGTCAAAATGACAAAAGCAGCTGCAGACAGGGACTCAGTCCCCCTGCTGTGGCTCAGTCTTGTTCTCTGGATCAACAAGTTTAGACTTCAGCAAACGAAGCAGCAGACTGCAGCTCCCTTCAGGCAAGTTTCCTGCTGTCAGCAGCTGTAGAATATTATGGGATTTACAGGCTTACTGGTAATCTTAATTGAGAGAAAGTAAGGGATTGAGAAGGTAGAGGGTTTCTTTGCCAACCCCGGGTAGAAACTTCCAGAAGTTCCTCTAAGTCTCTAATTCCTTCCCATTCAAAATGATTGTACTGAAGTGCCAGTAGTCCTGAATGGTGGAAGGGCAAGATTACTTTGAGGCAGAAAAGGCACGGGGAGGCAAGTGGGTGTGCATAGCACACCAAGAGACATTGAGTGTATGAGCTTGGCTCGGAAAGGAACTTTCCCTGAGAGCCCAGGACTCCTTTAGAACCCCACCAACCAAGGCCACCAACCACCCCGGCTGAGGGGTGAGCTGTTACAAAGCTGCAAGCCAAAGAACATTCTTACACAATTCCCAGTATGCCCTGCTTATGAATTATTAATTATTAATCAGATCTCCAGACAGTGTACCCAGCACACCAAGCATTTCACCAAACCACAGAAGGCAGCTTGTCTGTGACCATGGGGACCAAAAACCGTGGAGAGAGCCACATAAGATGTAGTTACCTTCACCCAATGCCCTATGCTGGACACACATTCTTGGCTGTCTATAGTGAGTAGGTGAAAAAGTCTGTGTGGCCCATGACAGTCTCTCTCCGCCTATTCTTCCCTCTCAAGATGATATTAATCAGTTTGAGGTGATGGAGTGGAAGATGCAAGAGAAGTACAAATGGTGGCTAATTAAATGCAAAAGGCGGGAAAGAGATCTTCACAGAGCTGGCTAGTGCCTGCCTTACACAGCAAATAGAATCAAGCCAGTCCCCAGAGTACTGGCCTCTTTTTCCCCCATCTCAAAAGGTTCTTTCTTCTGCCCGCTTTTGTCTCCCTTGTAGTTCATATGCCATCACAGGTGTACAGCCTTGGCCTCAAAGGATTCATTGTGACCTTATCCAGTCTGGGATCTGTTGAGTGAAGACAGTGGCGTCCCTCCGAGTTGTGTGGCGCCATTACATTCACAGGGGAAGTCCGTGAACAGTCCCAGGGAAGTGACTTGAGATCTAGCCAGACTGTGTTTGGGTGCCTCGTTTGCACTCACTCCAGTACACAGCCACCAGTTCCTTTGGTGAATTAAAAAAAAAAAAAAAAGAAGAAGAAGAA